AGAAGAAAAGAAACGAGCCCTACAACATGCTCAAAGACTGAGAGAGCAAAGAGATGAGGCTAACCATGAATTGACACAGAGGCAGACACAAATTGAACAACTCGAAGCACAACTGCTTAGAATGGATGAGACTTTTCAAAACTCGTACAACAGTGATGGGTTTCGTTTCAAAAAGAAAATGAGATGTTAAAGAAAATGGTAGCAGAGTTAGAAGAAGCAAGGTTGATCCACTCATCTGCACATGATATAGCCAGGCAGGAGAATGAGGACTTAAAAGCCAAGATTCCTGAGATAGAAGTTGTAGTACATAAAGGCCATCAGCGAATATAACAGTTAGAAGAAAGCCAACCATTGACTAATACAGAGCTTGGAACCATACTACGGCAGGCTCATGACTCCATTCAGAGTCAACATGAAGTAATGGGGAGAGCAGTGAATCAGGCCCACAATGTTGCTCACCAAGTCTATGAATTATCTAAAGAAGCGACAACCCTAAGAGTTTTCGTGATCCCGGAGTCAGAAGAAGAGCGACACATCATGGGATTGTTGATAGAACTCAAAAGATTAGGGGATAGGGCAAGATTCTACGTTTAGATTCAATGTTGATGTACTCTCTTTGCCTTGCTTAGATGTTGTGTGTTTTGAGTACTTTTTGTATAAACTAAGTTATTTTGGAATCAATATCGGGTTGCATTTGCATTTTCATAAGCTTTTCTCTAAATGTTTAAAAATTAAATACATTATAACAATTCATTTATTCATTAAAATCCACCAAATAATAAAATAATTTACAACCATTTATAGTAATCCTGGCACTCGCCTCACACCATACGTTACTTGTAGAACAACCAAGAAAATGGAGGCAAGAATGACCAACTTGAACAAGACCAAACACAAACTCAAGAAGAAATAAGAGAGAGACTAAGTAAGATGGAAGCAAAGATGGCAAACTTGTAAGCCAGTCTGCTAAAAAGATCGAAGAGATATTGAAGAAACATGCTACGAGTGGAAAACCAATGTCAACCAAACAAGATCTATCACATCCTCCAGGGTTTAGACCAGGAGCATTGCATCCTGCTGGGTTTACATCTGACCCCCAACATCTATCAAGATTTACACCAGACCCTCTGCATCCTCCCGATTTCACACCAGTACATATTTCTGTTAGGTCGCCAGCTTTACAATAAGCTCCCCCAAGAGTCTACATGGAAAATCAACATAATCATACTAAGCCCGCATTTCAAACCAATTACCCACCGACTGCTAGGGTAAGACCTGTTGAATCAGGTATGGAGAAGTTGCCACCTTATTTTTAGGAAATATCAGAAAAATGAAAGGTTAACAGCTAAATAACACATCAGCTGAAAAGCCTGGAGGAAAGGGTAAGATCAGTAGAGGTGGAGCCATTCTATGGAATGGACGCAAGGGACCTAAGCTTGGTTGCCGATCTAATATTTCCCCCGAAGTTCAAAGCACCAGACTTTGAAAAATATGATGGAATTACTTGCCCATCGGCCCACCTCAGTATGTTCTGCAGGATAATGACATGACATACTGAAAATGAAAAGTTGTTGATACATTGCTTCCAAGACAGTCTAACTGGATCGACAATCAAATGGTACAATCAGTTGACCAGATCCCAGATCAAATCATGGAGGGATTTAGCACGAGCATTTTTTGAACAATATCGTCACGTCATTGACCTGGTACCTGACAGGTGGACGTTACAAAACATGGAAAAGCGACACAGTGAAACCTTCAAGCAGTATGCCCAAAGATGGCGTGATGTGGCATCACAAGTACAACCCCTATTGCTAGAGAATGAGGCTACAGTTATCTTTGTGAATACCCTGAAGGCTTCATATATGGGGCATCTGTTAGGAAATGCTACCAAGAATTTTGTTGACTTTGTCATTTCTGGAGAATTAATCGATAATGCCATCCGAAGTGGCATGATTGAAGGATGAGAAGGGTAAAAAAAGCCCTATTTTAAGAAGAAAAAAAGCGAGGTGAACCACGCAAGCACTTGCCATAAGAACTACGCTGCCAGTGTTACAATCGCCCAGCCTAGGACAGAAAAAGCAAACACCTATGAGAATAAGGGACTGAGAAGGGAGAATGGAAGACCAACTTTCTCACCAGTGCTAGTATCATATTCAGAGATTTACGCCTCGCTTTTGAAGGATGATTTAGTGTGTCCCTATAAATTAACTCCGATGCAGCCACCTTACCCTCACTGGTATAATGTTAATGCCCACTGTGAATACATGTAGGGATCGCTGGGCATGATATCGAGAACTGCATGTATTTTAATAAGGTTGTACAAAACCTCATCAACGTTGGAGATTTGGAATTCAAAACACCAGCTATAAACACTTACCATTTGCCCAATCATGGGGGGAACGAAATCAATATGGTTGAAGAGAGAGAGATCAAAATGACCAAGAGAAATTTATCAGAAGTCAAGTCTCCCCTTTGTTGGGTATTCAGGCAGCTGTGTACATCAGGAATGATTGAGGGTAATCCTGAATCAAGGTCATTGGGACGAGAAACATACTGCGAATATCACCAAACTGAAGACCATGACATCCAAAATTATCCCGAATTTCAGAGATTGCTTCAGAAAATTATGGATAGTAGAGAAGTGGAATTTTTTTAGTAAGGAGGAAAAATCGCAAGATATAGACATTTGTATGGCGGATGGCTCGGACAGGATATCGGGGATGAGAAAACTGGTAGTCATCACAGTTAATCTAAGATAATAAAGATCATCATCAACAACTCCAAAGGTGGTGATTGCAACTCCATCCCCCTTCCCATTCAAGGATACCCGACAGGTTCCTTGGAGCTATGCAACCAACGTATCAATACCGGAGGGGTCCAAGATGTCTGAAAGAACAAACGAGGAAAATAAGTCAAGATCAAGAGAAATAGATGAGGTAGGCCACTTCACAAGAAGCGGAATATGCTACTCACCAGAAACGTCCACCGAGGTAGACAAAGGAAAAGCTAAAGCCAAAGCCGTCGTGGTGCCAAAAATTTTCAATGAAGAACCTCCACCGATCATTAACGAACATGTGACTGAGGCTCAAGGTCGTGAATTTTTTAGGTTTCTTAAGCACAATGAATACAGTATAGTGGAGCAGCTTCACAAACAGTAGGCGAAAATCTCAATCTTGGATCTTTTGATCAATTCTGAAGTTTATCGAAACGCCTTGCTAAAGGTTCTCAACCAAACGTTTGTCCCTAAGGATATCTCGACGAATAAATTGGACTGAATTGTAGGATACATAGCTACTGACAGCTATATCACCTTCACTGATGATGAGATCCCGAAAGGAGGGACGAGATCCATTAAAGCTTTAAACATCATGGTACACTGCCACATTCATGTCTTGCCAGGGGGTTCTTATAGATAATGGATCGACACTGAACGTAATGCCTTTAGCTACAATGTAGAGGATGCCCATTAATAGCTCACACATGACAACTTATCATAACATTGTCAAGGTATTTGACAGAACCTAAAAGGACATGATGGGAAATATAGAAATACCCTTAATGATCGAGCCTGTTATTTACAATGTTGATTTTGTGATAATGGATATCCACCCGACATACAATTATTTGTTAGGGAGACCTTGGATCCATACGGCAGGAGCAGTTCCTTCATCCCTGCATCAGAAGCTGAAATTCGTAATTGATGGAAGATTTACCAGCATTGGGGCTGAATAATAAATCATAGCTTATGTAACATCTGAGACCCCGTATATCGACATCAATGAAGACACCTTGGACTGTTAATTCAGGGCTTTAGAATTCATCAACGCAACCTATGTGGCTGAAGACAGTAGAATTCCACGTCTCGCACTGTCGAAATATACTAAGATAACAGTGAGGAAAACCCTTAGGAGAGGAGCGAGAATCAGTAAGGGACTGGGAATAGAGCTGTAGGGGCAGGTGCGACCTATAACTGTTGAGTGGAAGAGAGACCGTTTTGGGCTCAGATTTAAGCCCACCTTCCAGCAGCGGGGCCAAGAAATGAAGAAAAAGAATGAGGTAAGAAAGGTCAGATTGAGATAAGAGGATGTCTTTGGAGAATGCTTGTTCTTCCTTTCCCTGCAGATTTCTTTCAAATTTAGAGAAGTGTACAACTTAGAACAATAACTTACTAGTGACATCCAAACCAGGATGACAGGCGAAGCTTTGAAAAGACTGTCAATCAACATAACTTCTGGGGGTAACCAACCCGAGAAGTTTCTAGCTGGAATTCGTATGTGCTTACCTGGTGAAAAGCTCAAAAATTGGACAGCCGAAGACCTCCCCGTAGTCTTTAAGTTCAATCCAAAGTAATGCCTAGAAATAAGTTGTATTAGCATCCTAAAAATATCTGCTGAACGTTTTGTAAAACTTCACGCTTATCCCATCAATCAATAAAAGTTATTTTTTTCAAATGGCAATCATTTTCATTATTCGCATTATTTCATTACGTTCTTTACATCATATTCTTTATTCTTTAAAACTCCAAATTCTTTGCATTTTTTTATCATATTCTTTATTTTTTTTACTTTCCAATATATTCGAGTCAAATTTCATGCAGATGTCACAATAATACTAGCATAATTATTCCCGAGGCTAGTTAAAAGATAGACTTCGAGCGATCGCTATGTCTGGAAGAAATTAATGAATGTGAATATGAAGAAGACTGTGAAGTCCCTATTGAGCTATTAAGATTGGTAGAAAAAGATGAGAAATATATCCTACCCTACAAGGAAGAAGTAGAACTTGTAAATTTGGGGACCGCGAAAATACATAGAGAGATAAAGATTGGCACTACTCTATCCGCAAAAAAAAAGCTAGAATTGATAAGTTTGCTCCAGGAGTTCATAGATGTTTTTGCTTGGTCGTATCAAGATATGCCAGGGTTAAGTACTAATATAGTAGTCCACACGTTGCCCATTAAACCAGAATGCAAGTCGGTCCAACAAAAACTCATAAGGATGAAACCAGAGATGTTATTAAAGATTAAAGAGGAGGTCACGAAACATATCGATGCAGGTTTTCTTCAGGAGGAAAAATATCCTGAGTGGGTAGCCAATATAGAGTCGGTTCCTAAAAATGATGGGAAGGTTCACATGTGCGTAGATTACCGAGACCTTAACAAAGCTAGCCCAAAGGACAATTTTCCATTACCTCATATAGACACCCTGGTGGATAATAATGCGGGGCATTCATGGTTTTCCTTCATGAATGGCTTCTCAGGGTACAATCAGATCAAAATGAACCCTGAGGACATGGAGAAAATGAAGTTTATAACCATGTGGGGAACTTTCTACTACAAAGTAATGACATTCGGGTTAAAGAATATTGGGGTAACCTATCAAAGAACCATGGTGATTCTTTTACATGACATGATGCATAAGGAGATAGAAGTATACGTGGATGACATGATTGCTAAGTCCAGAACGGAAGAAGAGCATGTACAAAATTTGAGAAAGTTATTCCAACGATTAAGGAAGTACCAATTAAAGCTCAATCCAGCAAAATGCACATTCGGAGTAAAATCTGGAAAATTATTGGGTTTTGTGGTAAGCCAGAAAGGAATCGATATTGATTCGGATAAGGTTAAGCTAATTCAAAACCTTCCAAAACCACGCACACAGAAAGAAGTTTAAGGGTTCCTAAGAAGGTTATATTATTTATCACAATTCATTTCTCAGCTTACTGATAAATATAATCCGATATTCAAATTACTCAAAAAGAATAATCCTGAGGTATGGAATAACAAATGCCATCAGGCTTTGGAAGTTATCAAAAGGTACCTATTTAATGCCCCCATATTAGTATCACCAGTACCTGGCAGACCATTAATTCTCTACTTAACAGTTTTTGAGAATTCAATGGGTTGTGTACTAGGGCAACATGATGAATCAGGAAGAAAAGAAAGAGTCATTTATTACTTGAGTAAGAATTTTACCGATTGCGAGACTCGATACTCACTTGGAAGTTATCAAAAGGTACCTATTAATGCCCCCATATTAGTATCACCAGTACCTGGCAGACCATTAATTCTCTACTTAACAGTTTTTGAGAATTCAATGGGTTGTGTACTAGGGCAACATGATGAATCAGGAAGAAAAGAAAGAGTCATTTATTACTTGAGTAAGAATTTTACCGATTGCGAGACTCGATACTCACCGATTCAAAAGTTGTGTTGTGCCTTAGTTTGGGCTACCCGAAGACTCAGGTAGTACATGTTATACCATACTACATGGTTAATATCGAAGATGGATCCGTTGAAATTTTTGATGGAGTCCCCTGTTTTGACTACCAGATTGGCTAGATGGCAGATATTGTTATCCGAGTTTGATATTGTCTATGTGAGTCAAAAGGCAATAAAAGGGAGCGTTATAACACATTTTCTTGCAAGTCGTGCCTCGGAGGACTATGAGTCTCTAAACTTCAATTTCCCAGATGAAGATTTAATGTGCATTTCTACCGAGGATGAGAGCTCCGAAGGCAACAAATCTTGGATTTTATACTTTGATGGTGCCTCTAACGCTTAAAGAAATGGAATCGGGGCAGTGTTGATTTCCCTATAGGAGATTTACTATCCTTTCACAAGCAGATTAGATTTCTTTTGTACCAATAACATGGCTGAATACAAAGCTTGTATCATGGGGTTAAAGGCGGTCATTGAAAGAAAGATCAAGACGCTCAAAGTATACGGAGATTCCTCGCTAGTGGTGTACCAACTAAGGGGAGAATGGGAGACGAAAGACTCAAAGATAGTCGAATACAGAAATTTAGTCCTCGGATTACTAAAAGAATTTAAGGATGTCACGTTCAGATATCTCCCCCGAGAGGACAATCAAATGGCAGATGCATTAGCTACCTTAGCATCAATGTTTAAAGCTAATAAGAGAACGAATATGGTGCCCATAAGGATGCAAGTATAAAAGTCCTCGGCTCACTACTGTCACCTAGAAGAAGAAATATATGGTCACCCATGGTACCAAATATTATGCAGTATATGAGATACCAAACATATCCCCCCGGCGCATCTAAAATGACAAGAAAATAATCACTTGATGGGGAAATTTTATACAGAAGGGACAGTGACCAAGTTTTACTGAGATGTATAACTGCCAAATAAGCAAATAATGTGATGGAAGAGGTGCATGGGGGAATGTGCGGAACACATGCAAATGGTTTCTCCATGGCCAGAAAAATCATGAGATATGGGTACTATTGGGCCACGATGCATACAAATTGCGTCAATTACGTGAGAATATGCCATAAATGCAAGATATATGCAGATAAAATTCAGGAACCACCATCACTATTACACGTCATGAGCTCACCCTGGCCGTTCTCTATGTGGGGCATGAACGTCATTGGGGCAATCATGTCGAAAGCTTTAAATGGGCATCGATTCATCTTAGTGGCAATCTATTACTTCACAAAATGGGTAGAGGCTGCTTCCTATTCCAGTATCACGAGATCTATTATATGTAGATTCATAAAGAATGAGATAATCTACCGATATGGATTACCAGAAAGAATCATCACAGATAATGTTGTTAATCTGGACAATAAGATGATGGATGAGCTTTGTGCGCAGTTCAAGATAAAACATGCCAACTCTGTAACCTATCGACCAAAAATGAATGGGGTAATAAAAGCAGCAAACAAAAACATCAAAAAGATAATCACAAAGACTGCAGAAACTTATAGAGATTGGCACGAGAAGTTACCATTTGCCTTATATGGATATAGAACGATGTACGTACATCGATAATGGCAACGCCTTTCTCTATGGTGTACGGAACAGAGGCAGTCGTACCTATTGAGGTTGAAATCTCATCACTTCGAGTCTTAAAAGAAGTAGAATTGGATGAAGCATAGTGGATCTAGTATCGCCTTGATCAGTTGAATATTATTGATGAGAAAAGTATTGAAAGCTATATGTCATGGGAAAATGTATCAAAAGAGGATGATGAGAGCCCACGATAAGAAGGTACCCCCAAGAGAGTTCAAAGAGGGAGATATAGTATTGAAAAAGATTTTGCCAATCCAGAAGGATTTCCGCGAAAATGGATTCCTAATTGGAAGGGGCCCTTGTTGTCAAAAATGCCTTCTCTGGTGGAGCTTTAATTTTGGCAGAGATGGACGGAAGAGTGCTGAAAAACCCTATAAATTCAGACTCTGTCAAGAAATACTATGACTGAGAAAAAAGAAAAATAATAAAATAATAAAAGAAAATTAAAAAATAAAAATTAAAATAAAATGAGAGGTTTGAGGTAAAAACCCGCAAAGGGCGCCTTGAAAACAAAAGAGGAGTTGAGTCGAAAACCTTAAGGACTAATTTGTAAATACTCTAAATTACAATGACTAATTGCATAGTTTTACCATCCAAAATTTTCAACAATTTGGTGGCCAAATTTGACCAATTTTGCCACCCCATTAATGCCACCAAATTGCCACCCATAATGTTGACAATGTTGACAATTGATGTAATTTGGTGTGTCAATTTTCAACAATCTCCCACTTGAAGATTTGATTGGAACAATCATATCTTCACACCATTCTTTCTACCTTGTACCTTTCATGTTACTTACGTTTCTGACAGGCCACAGGAGGATCGACACCAGGTAAATTTATCAGCATTGATTGTCTTCATCATGAAATCTGCTATGTTGTCTTTGGTATGGATCTTCTGCATATCTACCATTCCTTCTTCCACCTTTTCACGAATGAAATGGTACTGAACTCATATATGCTTAGTCCTTGAATGAAATACTGGATTCCTTGCTAGATGCAAGGCGCTTTGACTGTCACAAAACATATAGACATACTCTTGATTGTGCTCAAGCTCCTCCAATAGCATCTTCAACCAAATTGCTTCTTTACTGGCTTGTGTAGTTGCTACATATTCTGTCTCTGTTGTGGACGTAGCCACAAATGACTGCAATTTTGAAACCCAGCTTACAGCTCCACCAGCAACTTTGAACACATATCCTCTAGTAGATTTGCTTTTATCCAAATCTCCTGCATAGTCAGAATCTACATACCCATTGATTAGTAAGTTTGATCCTCCGTAACATAATGCAACATTTGAGGTCCCTTTGATGTATCTTAGGATCCTCTTTACAATATTCCAATGCTCTTTGCCTGGATTCGCCATGTACCGACTAACCACTCCCACTCCTTGTGCAATGTCTGGTCTTGTGCATATCATAGCGAACATTAAACTTCTCACTGCTGATGCATACGGTACTCGAGACATCTCCATCCTCTCTTCTTCACTGCTAGGACTCATACTGGAGGATAATTTGAAGTTAATAGGAAGAGGGGTAGAAATTGGCTTACAATCTTGCATACTAAATCGTGACAAGATTTTCTTCAAGTAATTCTTTTGTGAAAGCCAAATCTTCCTATTACTTATGTCTTGGTGAATTTACATCCCTAGAATCTTGTTTGCTGATCCCAAGTTCTTCATTTCAAATTCCCTAGCCAGTTGTGCCTTCAATTCTTCAATATGATTTTTATTGGGTCCTGTAACCAACATGTCATCCACATACAACAGCAATATAACAAAATCGTTATCACCAGACATCTTGAAATAAGCACAAGGGTTTGCATTAAGTCTGTTGTATCCAAGGCACATAATGAAGGAATCAAATCTCTTATACCAACACCTCGGAGCCTGCTTTAGACCGTACAGAGATTTTTTCAACCTGCAAACCAAGTTCTTCTTTTCTTTTTCTTCAAAACTACAGGCTGGAGCATATAAATTTCTTCTTCAAGATTTCCATGAAGAAAAACTGTTTTAACATCTAGCTGCTCTAGATGTAAGTCCAATGTAGCACACATTGCCAAAACTACTCGAACTGTTGTTAGTCGAACCACAGGAGAAAATATTTCATTGAAATCAATACCTTCTTTTTGAGCATATCCTTTGACCACCAGTCTTGCACGATACCTCTCCACTTGGTCGTCACCATTTTGCTTGATTTTGAAAACCCATTTGTTACCAATTGGCTTCCTTCCTTGTGGTAGTGGCACAAGGTCCCATGTATTATTTTTATGAAGGGCTTCGATTTCTTCTTGCATCGCCATCATCCACAGTGAAACATCTGAGCTGTGTATTGCCTCCTGGTATGTTGATGGCTCACCGTCCTCTGTTAAAAGGCAGTATGCAATATTACCTTCTATAACATAATCTGAGTGCCAATTGGGACGTCTTCTCACACGATCTGATTGACGAGTTGTTGGAGTTTCAGAACTCCCTGGTTCTTGTTCATCATGTGCTGGTTCTGCTTCAGAAGAATCTCCTTGTTCAACCTCATTTTCCATATATCTGTGTAGTCTCTGACTTTCAGCGCTATCATCATCTTCTTTTCTTTGTAACTTATCTTCTACAAAGATAACATCCCTGTTAATGATCATTTTGTGGGCAATAGGATCCCACAAGCGATACCCCTTTACTCCATCAGCATACCCCAAGAATTTGCCTTTCCTGGATTTTGGATCCAGCTTTGAAATTTCTTGGGCGTTGTACATCACGTACACAATACTTCCAAATACATGGAGGTTTGAATAATCAACTGGTTTAGCAGTCCACATCTCCATTGGTGTCTTCAGCTCTATTGCAGTTGATGGAGCTCGATTCACCAAATAACAGGCGGTATTGACTGCTTCTACCCAGAATGATTTTTCTAGGCCAGCATCCCTCAACATTGCTCTTGTTCTTTCTAACAAGGTTCTGTTCATCCGCTCTGCCACTCTATTTTGTTGAGGAGTGTTCGCCACTGTGAACTGTCTTTTGATGCCTTCTTTCCTACAAAAGTCATCAAATTCTTCACCTGTGTATTCTCCTCCATTATCTGTTCTAAACACTTGATTTTATTTCCAGAATCAAGTTCCACCCGCGCTTTGAAGTTTTTGAAAGTTGAAAACACATCGGACATCTTCTTAATAGGGTACACCCAACATCTCATGGAGTAGTCATCAATAAATGAGACAAAATATTTTGCCCCGCCTAGGGATGTAACTGGTGCTTGCCATACGTCAGAGTGAACTAGTTCTAGAACACTTTTGCCTCTAGAATTTGATGTGTTGAATTTCAACCGGTGCTGCTTACTTGTTATGCAATGCTCACATAAAGTAAGTGATACCTTTGTTAAGCCTGGAAGTAGCTTTTGCTCCATAAGGACTTTCATTCCTTGTTCTGACATGTGTCCAAGTTTCTTATGCCATAGCATTGCAGAATCTGAACTACATGAGGCAACAGAGGCTTCTGCTTCTAGCAATGTCTCTCCCTTCAGCATGTACAAGTTTGCAGCTATCTTTCACCTTTCAGCACCACAAGCGCTCCACGGAACACCTTCATGATTCATTTCCGTGTTTCAATCTTGCTAGCATTATTATCCAACAATCCGTAGGATAATAAATTTTTCTTCAGACCTTTCACATGCCGCACATCTCGAACAACTTTAATTGTTCCATCATACATCTTCAATTTGATGGTTCCCACGCCAACGATCTCTAAGGCATGATCATT